AGATTCTGAATTTTCAAGTAACAGCTTTCCTGAGACATAATTCACACACCATAAGGTTAACTCTTTTAGACTGTCCACTTCAGTAGTGTTCATTATAATTCACAGTTTAAACATTCATCAGAAAAACATTTTCACCACCCCAAAGTACTGTCCTGTAGCCAATGACAATTACTCTGTTTCCCTCCACTCCAGTTCTACACAACCACTAATCTACTTTCTGTCTCCATAGATTTTCCTATTCTGGACATGGCATATAAATGGAATCATGGAATATGTGGTATTCCACAGCTGGCTTCTTCTACTCAGTGTAATGTCTCCGAGGTCCGTCCATGTGAGTCATGGCCGAATGCCACTCCACGGCATTCACATTTCTTTCATCCTTTCATCACTTGATGGTCACTTGGGGTTTTTCATTTTTGGCTGCTCTGAATGATGCTGCTGTGAACACTCATCAATGCTTTTTGTGAGGATGCAGATTCTGCTTTCACTGGCTCTAGGGCAGGGTCCCTAGTGTAGGGATTGTCCAGATGCTCCGTCAGGTGATTCTAATGTGCAGTCAGGGCTGAGAACCTCTGGCTTAGAATCTTAGCACTCAATGTGAGCTCTATGGACCTTCGGCCCAGCATGGCCAGGGAACTGACTAGAAATACGGGTCCCTGTGCCCCACCCAGGCCTACTGAGTCAGAGGTCAGAGTCCAGCAGGTCCTCCAGGTGACATGTGTGCTCGCTGAAGTGTGAGAGGCACAGGTTCTGGGAGCTACTCGGGGTCCTTGTCCACCAAGTGTAACCTTGTTCCTCTGACAAAATGCACACCAAACTCTGAACAGAGAACTTATTGGGGACCACCTTTATCCCCTGCACACGTGCCACACAAAACTGGGGGCAGAGAGTCTCATTTGAGCCTCCACCATGTCCCCAGCTCCCAACACGGTGCACAGCACAAGCAGGTGTGGGATAGAGTTGTCACATGGAAATACCAGTGGCCAATGAGCCCTTCTGTGTCCAGTTTGCTCTCAGGAGACCAGCACCCAGGAATGGACAGCCCTGGGACTCTGGGTGCACAGCACCTAGAAAACATATGGCACAAAGGAAGCTCTGAAATGGTGACTTGGACTGTGTCAGGGATCCCATGGGATTGGGAGCAAGAGCGAAATGTCAGAGTTTCTGCTTCCAGGCTCCGTTCTCAGGCAGCAGAGCTCAGAGCCAGGCCTATCAAACCTGATCGGTGGCCCTGGGCCAACTGACAACCAGCAACACATTCACAAGTTGAAAGTGCACTTGGGAATTCTTGCCCACCAGGTCTCCTGGTTCCCATGGCAGGTGAAGTGAAAAGGAGGGACAGAGCATCCCCAACCCAGGAAAAAAGATCAGGGCCTTGCTCTGCCAGCCAAGATGGTTAAAGTACAGTGCCAGTCAGACAGGCCTGGAAGCAGGTCCGGGACCTCTGCCCAGGAAAGGGATGTTGCCAGGGGGGAAGCAGGCCCCCACCCTGAGACTAACAGAATCACAATCGAATGGGCTGGGCTCTGCAATGAAGGGGCATTCAAAAATTTTTTCATCATTAGAGGAGGGGGTAGTTGTGGCAGTCCCAGCAGCAGCTACTATTTATCGATGGTCCATGTGCCTGGCAGAACTAAACACGGCACGGCAGGTGTTACCAATCACATTTACAGTTGAAAAAATAAAGGTTAAACTCAAAAACTGCAAATTCTTTGTTCCAAGCTACACTGCTAGGAAGTGACAGAGTCAAGGTTCAGACCCAAGCCTGCTCACTTCCAAAGCCCACACTCATTAACACTGGGACAAGCAAAGCATGCCTGAGTACTAGCCCCCTACCGTTCACCGTTGAGAAGGCTGGGGCCAAAGATTCATCCAAGATCTCAAAACTGGCTCAAAACTGGTTCAGTTCTGTTTTTGCCTTTGACTCCATCTACTAACTGACACCTTCACACATGAGTGTGATAAACAGCCTGTGTGCAAAAGAACTAATTAATGTCTTGAGCTATTCCTTTATAGAGATCCATGACTGCACTAAAGGATCTTCAATCTTGTGCTGCTTCCGAGTAAGACTTATCGAGCTGGCTCTAAAAGCCCGTGTGTTGGGTGTTCTCCTCTGCTACCCACTCCTTACATGTGTCTGTGGATCAGTGGCAATCAACCCCACCTAGTGTTCTTCTGCCGCCTTTTTACTGATGGCTGAGCCCTCTGTATCTGGCCCCTCACCATCTCCCTATCTATTTCATTCACTACCCTCTGCTCCAGCTCTGTATAACTTTTTATCTTCTCAATGTGTGCCTTCCACATCCCATACTGGTCCTTTACTCAGAATGTCCTTCCTCCACCTGAAAGAACCTTCCTTCTACCTCCCAGCTTTCCCTACAGCGAGACTCATCCCCTCCCCTGGACTTCTCTTTAGCATTTTATTTGCATTTCCATTTTTGTCTCTATCACAAACTACAAATCTCCTGGCACAAGAACCATGCCTTATCAATTTGATCCAGTCATTCTTTTTCAAATGCCTGGAGTCGTTAGGAAATACAAAGATAAATAGAACCTAGTTCCTACCCTCAAAGAGATCAGATCTAATATAGATATAAAAATCTACAATAAAAGAATGTCATGCTATATCTTGTTTTGGCTTTGTTTCAAGACTCTATCTACTAACGCCCTTATTTGCAAGACAATAGTCATTCAAAATAATTAAATGTTTCTCAATTATTATTTGACAGGAACCAGATGATTTTATTAAGAGAATAATGGAAAAGTCCCAAAAGCTTAGGCTCCAAAACAGTTTATCAGTTTCTCAAAAAGTTAAATGTAGAGTTACCCTATGATCCAGAAATACACTCCTAAGAATAAACCTAAGAGAACTGTCCAAAGAAAAAATCTTTATGAATACTCACAGCAACATTATTCATAATGCTTAAAAAAGGAACCCAAATGTCCATCAACTGATGAATGAATAAACAAAATGTAATATATCTAAACAGTGGAATAATTATTCAGCCATAAGCAATGAAGTACTGACACATGCTACAACATGAATAAGCCTTGAAAACTTCACTTAAGTGAAAGAAATCACATACAGAAGAGCACATAAGTTTATAATTTCAGATGAAACATGCAGAATAGGTAAATCCATACACACAGAAAGTAAATTAGTAGTTGCCAAGGTCTTGGGAGAGGGGTAGATGGAGCAACTGTGGTGAGTCACTTCCTCTGGGGTTCATAAAAGTGTTCTGAAATTAGACAGTAGTAATGGTTGCATGACTTCATGAATTAAACTAAAAACCACTGAATTATACTTTAAAGGGATGCATTTATAGTATGTATTATCTCAATTTTCAAATAATTTTTTAAAAACAAAACCAAAAAATGTATGCAGACTCCAACTGAAAATGGAGAAGATCAATCCCTTTGTATTTCCCTTTCTGAGCTCTCATGGAGATAGAGAGGTCTAGACATGCTGATTTTTCAAAGTCCACTGGGCACCTTTTTTACCAGTCCCCAAGCACCACTGGGGGCACACAGATGCCTTGAGATGGCGATGACTATGGAAAAAAGTCTATTGATAGGCATCACCATTTCCTGTCATTGCTAGAAGCACAACATTTTGTGGATCATCTCATCCAAGGGTTTTCAAATTATGCTCCTAATAGAATTTGCCCAGGGCTGACAGGTTTCCTGGGACATGGACTCTCAGTGCTAAACCTGGGAAAGTCCCAGGCAAACTGGGACAACTGGTCACCCAAGCTCCTGAAGAAATGGATGAACAGTCTCCTGTCCCCAGGCCTAACTCTGGTCCCCACCAACAACCACAGGCTTCTCTATTTTTTTTTACATGAGCTTTGCCTACACTTCTGTTTAAAACAAAAAGACTTCTGTGGCTGAAGAGGTTTGTAAATCATCACCTAAGACATCATTCTCCTAAAGGTCTTCATCAGCCAAAGCCCAGGAGTTCAGAGACTCATTTTCAGGGAAGTGAGTCTAGTGAGTAAGACAGAATCTTGTAGGATTTGGAGAAACAGAGACTGAGAAAAATCCGCCTGGATAAGCTCTGGGGGTTGGCCATGCTGATACCCTGAAGGCTGGACTAGGTTCTTGACTGTGTCCATCATCACCACCATCACCGCTCTTCCAATGAGCAAGTGTGTCTCAAAGAGGAGGTGCCAGAACTCAGCAAAAAGATCCTAAATTTGAACCCCTGTGGAACCTGACAGCTTTATGCATGGTTTCTGAAACCCTGTCCAGGCAGCACTGACTTTCTACCATCCTAGGCTCTGATGGCACTGCACCCATAAAACTTTGGCTCTCATCTCTATATACTGAAGGCCTCTTACTATGAACATATGTGGCTCCCTGCCAGAGGTTTCTGTTTTTGGTTGTGAGTATATATTTGACCCAAGCCAAGGTAGGCCAGAAGTACCAGAGAGTATCAACTCCACCTCCAAAGTGGCCCTCAACCAAATTAAATGAGGAATTGGTATATAAACAGCCCAGCCTCTTTGCTGAACTCTGAGGCACATTCTGCCATCCCCCAGAGCTCCTCTGCAGAGCTGAACCCAGCTGCCCACAGTAGTGACCTGCTCAACAGCGCCCCCTACATGGCTCCTTTCCCCCATCTCCCTCCCCCACTCCCCAATTGGTATGTTCAGTGATCGCCTCCCAAAGAAACCACTTGCACTAAACTCTTCTCAAGGTCTGCTTCTGAGGAGGGCAGCCAACCAAATACAGATCCTGTGACATGTTGACTGGAAATAGCAATGACAACACACACACACAGGGCAATTCCATGGGAAACACCCAACAGGGAGCTCAGGACTTCCTTGACCTAACAGTAGTAGGGAGTCACCCTGAACAAAGAGCCAAATTCATAATTTATTTAAAAAAATAAAAAGGACTATTTTCAAAAAATGAACATATAGAGCTGTCTGCAAAACATAAAAGGGTTCCATGGGTGTTCTCAAAAACCTATGATTAAATAAATAAAAGCTACTTACTTATAAAAGGCCTGGTTCTCCACCCCACATTTCCAAAGATGTTTGCAGGCAGCTGGTGTTGAAGTATGAAATGCCAACATGGCTTTTTTCTAATAAATAACAAGAAAGGGCAGGTGAAACAGAGTTGATGCTTTTCATCTTTTTCCTTCAGGTATCTACCTATTTGTATCCTGACACCTACCAAACAGATTTGAAGTAACTTGTGTATTACTATGTTCTTAAAAGTGTTTTTAAAATGGTATTTCCCCCTACCCACCGACTCACCTCACCCTTTGAAAATATCACTACACTAATCTATCTAGGCCCTCTCTCTGATTTAAAAAAAAAGTAACCTCACAATCAACTCCGCAGGCACTGCCTGATCTCAATCATACTTGGGCTAGTTTAAAAACTTTCTTGCCAACGTTGAATAATTACTGTTTGAACTGAAAACTGGGGTCGAGAGATTGTGCAGACTTCCAGACCCCGCTCTGAGATTCCAAGTTTCAGTAATGCCCTCCTCCCAAATGTGTTCACTGGTGAACCCAACCTACATTTGGTAACTCCTTTATTTTAAGATTCTTGGTTCTTATAGATTCTGTTTATAAAAGTCTACCCATCACTGGTTGGTATCTAGCTTGGTAAGTATCCTTTGTATGTTTCCTAAATCTGTATTTTGGTAAATTACAGAGGTAGGGGAAGTCCCATTTGCTAAATCCCAAGCCTATCCCAGTCTATTTTTTACACAGGGGTATTCACTCAGCATTGTTCACTAACTTTATTCTTAAATGTGCAAGCTCAGTGTTTATTTGCTTACCTCTCAAGTATTCTCAAGCATATAGCTTCCATTATCACTGAAAACTTTAAGGTCATGGTCTTTGAGGCCTACAAGGCTAAATGCACATTTTATGCTTAAATCTCTCTCAGAGGCACACATGTACACACGTGCTCTCACACACACAATGACAGAGAGTTAGAAAAGCAGCATCTGACCTCTTTCTGAGTGCCAATCACATAAAATGTCTTCCCTTCAAACTTCAGTTTGCAGACATCTGGCCTAAGGAAAAAAATACCTTTGGGTGAGAGGAAAAAGTGAGTGGCAACTAACCGAGGAACCTGGCTTTCCCACAGGAACGCAGCTGACTCGCTCATGCCAAGTGGGCTGCGCTGAAACAAGATACCATCTTATCATCAGTGAAGGCCAAGTGAGCAGTGAAAAGCCCCTGAGTGAACTACACAGCAACTTTCTTCCCAAGAGAGGATCCACAGGCAGCTCAACTATTCAGTCCACTTTTTTACATTTAAGCTGCACCTTTCTTTTAAGGAGTGGTAGAGGTCTCATGAACCTTAACGACCAAAACAAGAATTTTCAGCCCAGGGAGAATGTGGTGGTTTCAGATTCAGTCAGTGAAATGATGTGGGTTCACAACATCTGTTCTCCCATCCTTTCACATTCATCTCTGAGAAGCACACACATCACACTGTGAAATTTCATTCCTGCTCTCCCTGTTCATAGAATATTTCATTAGATATTGAGATGCTCAGAATTGTGAGGACAGCTGGATGAATGGACATCTTAAGAAGCTGCTTGATTAAAATCTGTCTGAAATGCAGACACGAAGTCACCTTCTTGGTGAGAAAATATGTGTGAAGGGGGGAATTCTATTTTTATTCCTTTGATCTAATTCCTCTGATACTGATGATGTGTGCCTCTGTGCTTTTCCTAGTAAATAAAGAACAGTGCAGTCACAATAAGTTGTCTTAATCTAGGTAGAGGATTTGCAAGAATGACAAAGTGCAATGGATAATTAAAAACAAACAAAAAAATCTAAGGATTAATGTGAGAAGACAATTTGTTTTAGTAACAATACATGACTATGAGAAATGCATGTGCCTAATCAGAGGCTGGGAAGGTTAGAGTTGGCATCAGCAGCCCAGCATGAACACTGAAACAAATGGTCAGATTGTCCTTCTCAGCTCTTCACTGTACCCAAGAAGAAAGTGAGGTCCAAGGAGGGAGAGACTTGCAATTAGTCTGCACTTGAGATGTATCCAGTTCTAACCGAACTCAAGCAATTCAAAACCTGAGGATCTATCACTCTTCAGGACCCCAATGCCTTTTATAGCCCTAGGATGGGATGGAGGAAGTCCTCAAATTACCCATGCTCCCCAAAGTCAGCAGGGAATGTGTTCTGGAATGGAGTTGAAAGGCAATTACAGACAGGCCAAAGAAGATATTTAGAGAAACTGGGCATTTTAGAAAGAGAGGGCTGATCATGAAAAAGACCAGAAAGTGGAGGGAGAGGAGTGGACATTTGCTGACTAACGCTAATCTAGTGGAGAAGGTTTGAAAGGAAGGGAGGTGAGAGGAGAATGCTAAGAAGGTAGGGAGAGCTCCTTGATAATGAGGTGATAAAAGAAATCCTGAAGCTATAGAACCATGAGACTGAGGTTCAGGTAAGTGCCCAAATAGCATTTCCAGCTCAGGAGTGAGGATGGATACCCACTAGCCCATCAAGAAGAACTTCAGATTCAAGCACGTAAGCCAAAGGAGTGAATCCCCGACTCAGTGAGACACAACAGGGCTGACAAACCTGTCAGGGACTCTCAGAGAGAAAAGTGAATCGGCTGAAGGTAGGAACAAGACTACGCCTTTCCAATAACCCATCACACGTACAATGTTCAGCCTTATTCTCTCTTTACCAAAACCATGTTTGCTCCTTGATTGAACGGAGTGGCTACTGCAGGTCACCATCCTCCCTCTTCTTTACTGACACAATCTAGGCTTTATTCCTCCTCAGGGTCATGTCTTCATACAGATCATGCTCTTTCCAATCCCAAGAGGATGAATCTTGATTCCACCACCCAGTCAGGAGTTCCTGTTCTTCTCAGAAGGGTTGTGACCCCATCCTGCCCAAACAAATACACAGGAAGTCTCCCACAAGGCTTCTGAAAAGGTTATGCTTGCTTTAACAGCAGACACATGGAAGGGCTGCTCTCCTCCAGGCTCTAGGTGTTGCTGTGTGAAGATATAAACGCCAGAGTTGCAACATGACCATACCATTTTATGAGCCTGGGGATGAAGGGGACCACCCTATAATGGCAAATAAGAAAACAGAGAGACCTACATCCTACACAGTGTTGTTGGACAGTTCAGTTAAAGGATTATGGAGCTGTTTGAGCTCTGTAACTTCTGCTGTGTGAGATGATCAGCCCTCTTACTGGTAAGGCACTGTGAGCAGACATTACTGTTATTTTGACCAAAAGCATCTTCCCTGATATACCGGATAACAAAAAATAAGTCTGCAGCCAGGGTTCAACAGAATAGACTGAAGTGAATGGGAGAAACTGGGTCCTGTTGCTCAAGGAAACGGGCACCTTTACTTTCCCTGACCGCCACTCCCACCCCTGCTCCCCGGTCACCCTCTGGTGAGAGCAGACGCTACTGGTGAGAAAACACTAGACACTTTGTTTTTTGGAAGCAGAGTCCCTGAGCTCAGAACACACCCCAGGTCTCCTGAGTTCACTACTCAGCTAGACAAATCTGATTCCCTCCTAAGAGAGGGCAACCTAGATCGGGTTTCATTTATAGATAATAGGTCCCTTCATAATGAAGTTCCAAAGCAAAGAAATGAATACCAGGCATCCTACCTGATATCTCAAGAAAAATCAAACAAACAAACAAAAAAAACAAGTGAAAGGTGGGAAAAGAACAAGATTAAGAAAAATGATGAGCCAGTTTTCAAAAAAAAAGTACTCACCATTTTATCAAATGGATTCTCTTATTTCCCTGAAATACCACAAAGCCTGCAGCAGTGAATCCCAAAAATGTTGTTGTACCTGTTGAATCCTGAAAAATAAAATAAAATGAAAACATATTTGGATTGAGGACTATAAAGTAAATGGTAAGTGGTATGCTTATTCATTCTCACCCTGGGTTAATGTCAGGTTAATTCTAATGATTGCAGCAATAAACTAAATTTCTGAGGTGGGACCTCTAAGGATAGTACTTCCAAAGTCTGGGCAAAGTCCAGGAATGTATAGCTTTTCCTCTGAGGACAGAACTTCTTCTCCTCTCCAAGAATCTCCTGGGAAAGTCCAGATTAGTCATAAACCACTATGCCAACCTCCAAATGTCTTCTTGGGCCACCCGAGTCCTCATATTGGCCCTATAATGTGGACAAACCATTCCTAGTTGTCGTTAACCCTACAACCAAAATGCTATGATACTAATGCCCTGAGCATCTACTGTAGCTTGATTCAATCCCACACAGAATTCCTGGCAATTCTAATGTAAAGATATGCCCAGGAATGCCTACTTTGCTTCCACCCTCGACCCAGAAAACTAAGCATTTCATTCATAAGGCAGAGGAACAACAATAACAATTTAGTCAGTCTCCAAGTAATAAATAAACAGAGAGGCTCAGATTTGTAGATAAAATCTAGTTCATTAAATGGACTAATTTTATTTATACCATGACTAGGAAGAGGCATCTGGCAAATGTTGGGGCAGACCGCAAGATGCATGTACCAGCAGAGACAACTACCTCCGGCTCTCACCTCATGTACACATTGGAATCACCTGGAGCATGTGGTCTGCTTCCCAAAAGACACTGATGGAACAGGACAGCAAGAGTTTAGGAAGCTCCCCACTTGCCTGTAGCGAGGAACCTAAGCTGACAGCTATGAGAATGGGACTTGACCAAATACAACTATCTGTTCCCACCTGGGTAAAGAAATGTTCTGCCATGACTCAAGAACTAACTTTAAAAGACCACCTGATATAAATGCTTAGTTCAGAATACAGGTGAGTGCTGGCTGATGTGTAGTTAGTTTAAGACATGGGAAGGAAAAAACTTTTCATAAAACAGTTCCGGAATATGTGTGCATGAACATCGCCTTTTGAACCTGTATAAAAGGTGGACCTGCCAGATGCATCCCCAGTGATTCTGAATCGGTAGTTTGGGGGTAGGGCCCAGGTGGTTCTGATACAAATGGCCAGATTTCATGCTTGAAAGAAACACTGTAAAAATAATGTGAGTAAAGGAAAAACAAATACTCCTAATGTCAAAAAATAATCTTAAATCTTTCTTTTCTTCCACTTTCCCATCTTTTCAGACTGCAATCTTGCCAGCAACGGCCTTGAAAATAAATGTTAGGACCCTGTAACTTCTTGGGGATAAAACCACCCCTGATGGATGAGTGAATCCATGCATGTTAATTTAGTAATATGTGGCTATTACATAGCAATTAGCAAGCAATTGGCTGACTCCAGTGGAGAGAACCAACTACCAAAACATGAGACTGCAGCCCACTATTGTCCCTTCCAATGAGGGACAGTGAGGCAGGCAGTGGAAGTATCCTTGGAGGGATCTGCCGGGCATAGACAACAATGAACTCCTGCAGGGCAAAACAATCCTTAAATGTCTACCTGCTGTGAGAAGCAATTACCTTGCACGGGTGGGGGTCCACCCCATAGGTTTCCAAAGTGTGAGCTTTCAGGAGTAAGTTAAATTCAGCAACCGGTGGGCTCTGGCCTCTACAACATCACACAAGAAAAGGGAGAGAGTTAATATGGAAAATGAGAGACACGGAGTCCCTTCATTCAATAAAATGTGATATCCTAAACTAAATAAAGAGAGAAATCCCTGCACAAATAGAAATCATCATGCTTCACCATGAGGAGCCTGTTGCCAAGGAATCTGAGCTCCTGTTCCCTGGCTGAGTGTCCATAATAAACCCGCAAGTACTGGAGGACTCCAGCGACCCATATGCTTAATCAAGGTTATCAAGTTACCAATGAGTAGGCCCTTGGAAATGTAATCTTACTATGAAATAAAACACAGCATCTGTTCTTTCCAACTTATTTTAAAGATTACCCAGGGGCAATGACATTCCTTCTTGCTCAGGAAAGGAAGTGGGCAACCCTGTCGCCCCATCAACAAGCCTAGAGAGCCATCCAGGTTGGAACAAACTGCCAACCATTCCACTGGAAAGCCCTGGATTTTGAAAGGAAATCTCAGCCACAAGTCTTAGCACTGTCCTCCTGGGTGGTAAACAAGGTCTTGGCCTCAAGAGGGGGAGAGGACTACAAATATAGATGGCCGTGAAAAGCCCTTTGGGGGCTAACTTCCAAACCAGGACTGCGCAGCATTTCAAAGACTCCACTTTGGCTTACATAAACATCCCACAGTATTCTAGAGGATCTGAACTACTCCCCAAGGGTAAATATATAACCCTAACAACCAAGAAGAGATTGCTAAGGAAACAGCAGGAATTCACTTTTATTTTTAAAGGTAAAACTATATTGCAATATTAAACCTATTTCCACCTAAGCTTCTCCCCAAAGAGAGATTTCCTCCACTACCCCCTCAAGACAGCTAAGAGTCATCATCATGCCTCTCCATCAAAACAGTGCCCCAATTTCCTTCTTGCTAAAGCCTTTCAAGATGTTCTCTCTAGTCCAAGTACGCTGAAATGTCACTGTGATATATCTAAGGAGCATCTTTATTTATTCATCATGACCAGTGCTGTGAAGGCACTTTTAATCCAACAACTCGTATCTTTCTTTGGCCATTTCTTTGATTCTTTGCTTCCCTTCTCAACTTCCTTCTTTACTCCCAATCGCTCTCTCTCTCTCTTTTCTCTTTTGAGAGGCCCTAGCAGGTCTATCCTAGGTCTATTCTTCATGCCTTTCAACCTTTGTTTCGTTTTTTAAGTATCTTTCTTTTTGTACTATGTTCTGAATTATTTCTTAATTCAACCTTCCAGCTTGCTAATTTATTCTTCATCAGTATGTATCCTGTTTTTCATCCCATGTATGAGTTTTTAACTATCAATTATTTTATTTTCAATGTAACAACTAGAGAAATAACTCAGTTTATTGTGCTTTAATTTATTGCACTTCACAGATACTGTGTGGGTTTTTTGGGGGGTTGTTTTTTTTCTTTTACAAATCAAAGGTTTTTGGCAACCCCACATCAAGCAAGTCTGTGGGCACACTTTGTCCAGTAGTATTTGCTCACTTTGTGTGTTTGGGTCACATTTTGGTAGTTCTTGCAATATTTCAAACTTTTTCATTATTATTGTACTGGCTACAGTGATCTGTGATAATGGGTGTTTGATGTTACCATTTTAATTGTTCTGGGGCACCATGAACTGCATCCATATTAGAAGGTGAACTTAATAAATATGTGTGTTCTGGATATTCCCCTGTCTATCTCCCTCTCTCTCAGCTCCCCTATTCCCTGAAACACAGAAATATTGAAATTAAGTGGACAACCCTAAAATGACCTCTAAAATCCAAGTGAAAGAATCAGTTGATGCGGCAAACTTCGCTGTCATTTAAAGGAATCGTCATGGCCACCCTAACCATCAGCAACCGTCACCCCGGTCAGCCAGTGGTCATCAACTCTCCACCAGCATTTTTTAGTAAATATATTATTTTTAATTAAGTATGTACATTTTTGAGACACAATACTATTTCACACTTAATGGACTATAGTATAATGTAATATACTTACTATACATATACATGATTTTGATACACACTGGGAAACCAAAAAATTTATGTGACTTGCTCTTACTCACTTGCAGTAATCTGGAACCAAACCCAGAATACCTCCACGGTATGCCTATATCTGGCTCTTGAAATAGTTGCTTGTTTTTATTTTATGAAAAAAACTTTTTTTACTTCTCTTACATCCACTTTTAAAGTTCGACCTTGTTTGCTCCATTAATGCTACTTTCTTGGTAATGGTGCTTTTGGTTTGCTAAGTCAGAGTTTCTCATTCATTAAATTGATGTTCCTTCCCTTAAGTGTTTGGTGATTCTTGGTTGGACAGTCACCTATATACCTGACGTTATTCATTGAAGGAACAGCCTCCCAAGGTTGTAGGGAAGGACAGAATGTGCCATGTGTGAAGTGCATGTCAGTAATTTAAGGCTGAAAGTTTCAGTTCTTTCTAGGTCTTTTCCACACACCGGGTACCCCCAGATCAAGCCTGGAAGCAGAGGAAGGGGTCAAAGCTGCCCGACTGCTCCAAAACCAATTGCCCACTCACCATGATGGCCAACCTGTGTACCTGCTGCCTGAAGCACCCAGAACCACTCCTCTCCTCCTATGCATGTGTTTGCCCTGTATTTCCTGTTTCCTGTCTTCCAGAGATACCTCAGGACTTCTGACCCTAAGATGGTATTCTTTCCTGTATCCACTGTCTAATACTTTTTCTATTATCCATAGGGACTTGGAAAAGGAAGGGAAGGTAGCCACATATACTAAGCTTTTACTTTTAATGGAAGAGAGAATTTTTAAATTCATCCTTTACAGATATATATTTCTCAGGAATTAACTCAAGACCCTGCTTTAGGAAGATGAAGTTTTTCTAAAGCCTTTTCAGGATTTTTTCTTTAGTCTTCATGTTCTGAAGTTTCACTGATATATAAAGGGAACATCTTTATTTCAGTAGTTGCTGGTAAGTGTAGGCTGGGGCAACCCTAGCAAACAAACTACCACTTCCTAAAAAAGCTGAAGTTGTGCAAACTCTATGGCTCAGCAAATTCCATACCTCGGTTGATACCCATGAGGATATTCAAGAACCCATATGAATTTGTAATAGAAAAAACCGAGAAACCAACCTAAATGTCTATTACCAGGAGAATGGATATATAAAATATGACCCATTCATGTGACATAAAATTAGTTACACAGAGGTAAAAATGAAGACCTAAATTATGGCTATATTTATCAATGTGGAAGAATCACAAAAATATAATGTTGATGAGAAAAACTGCGATATAAGAATAAAGTATGATTCCATTTATATGATCAAAAATAGGCAAAAACAAAGCAATGCTTTACTTAGTGATATATATAAAGTACATTTATAAAAGCAAAAGAAGAGAGTGAATAACTTAGTTCAGAATAATGTAGAAAAGGGAGGAAGGTGCTCTGTGGGTGGGGAGCACAGGAGAGACTTCAAAGCATCTGGTAACCTTCCAATTCATTAGCAGAGTTAGGGATCCTGGGTGGTTTTTCAGCTATTATTTAAATTGTACATATAGTATATATACTATTTTATATAGTCTTTTCTATTTTATATATTTTACAGTGATTAAAAAAACAATTGGCTTTTTAAAAATATTTTATTTATTTATTTTTAGAGAGGGAGGGGAAGGGAAGGAGAAAGAGTGGGAGAGAAACCTCAATGTGCAGTTGCCTCCCATGTGTCCCCCACTGGGGACCTGGCCCACAATCCAGGCATGTGCCCTGACTTGGAATCGAACTGGCGACTCTTTGCTTCACAGGCCCATGCTCAATCCACTGAGCTACACCAGCTAGGGGACAATTGGCTTTTAAATAAAAGAATTATTGGATGAAATATTATACAATCTATAAGCACCACTGAACCAAACTGAATTGGTCAGGAATATAATATACATGTGGAGCTATCTTTTACTAAATCCTACTGTTTCAAGAAATGTATAATTTTTTTCTATTACCAAGCAATACATCTTTTCTCACTTACTATTTATAAAGGAGGAATTCTTATTCTCATTTTATAGATGTAGATTCCGACACTCAAAGAGTGAAAGTAAGGCTACTCTGCTCATATGTGCAGAAGCCACATGCGAGTGCAAGTCTGCCTGGTTCCAAACACGTCCTAGTGCCTGCACCACCCCCACCACCAATCAGACATGGTCAGGAGCCACCTGCCTGTGCTTCTGGATGCATGGCAGAGCATTTCAGTATCAGGTCTTATAGAAAGCCCTTCTCATAATCTAAACATTGCAATTTATCACTGATGGGTAGCAATCCACCTCAGATGACTGGTATTTACACCTGACTGGAGAGCTGTGATGTCTCCATTTTAATCTAGGTCAGAGATCCCCAAACCAAAGCCTGCATCTGCAGGCAAATCCTGACTGCCACTTCACTGTGTACAGCCCTCGAGCTAAAATGGTTCATCATTTTTCAGTGCTTTAATACAAATGCAGAAGAGCATCTCATGACCCATGAAAATTATGACATTCAAATTTGTGTCAATAAGTTTTCATTGGAACACAGCCGTGCCCATTCATTCACAGAATGTCTAACAGTGCTGTCATGCTACAATGGCAAAACTGAGTGGTGAGAACAGGCACCCTATGTCCTGCAAAACCTGAAATGTTTACTAAATGACCTAGTACAGAAAAAGTTAGCTGGACCCTGATCCAGGAACTGAACACAGGAATAGGAAATGAAGCTGTGTCTCTTTGATTGCATAAAGTCAATAGGAAAATAGTACCAACCTCCAAGATCTGATGTAAAGAGTAGGCAGTTAACAGATACAAAGCAGCTGGAGTAGAGCCTGGCACAGAACATGTGTTCTCTTGTTAGCCCTGCATGTGACTGATAGAAATATAGCCCTGGGGGGAAATGTCAGGAAGCATGTCAAGATTTCTATAGCAAAGCAACAGCCCCTCTTTAAACTAAAAGTCCTCAAATTGTTATTGTTTGCTTTGGGTTTTACTGCAGATCTCCAATGGCTAGATGTTTAA